CAAAATATAAAATAAATGTAGTTGCATGATATGCCTTGTTAACCTCATCTTAAGGCTTCAGTAAAGACTGTACAGGAAAGTAGGATCACAGTCTTGGGATATCAGTAAAAATAGTTGTAGTTAATTAGTGGTCTTCTAACTTTGAAAAATCCTAAAAAAAGATTGGATCTTAAATATGTAAAATTCTATATGGAGGGATGTATTCTTGAAGATATTTTCCATATAAATCAATAGAGTTCTGAAAGATGCCCTCTCTCATTCATAGCACAATGATCTGATTTTCTGACAGTAAATAAATCCTATGTCATATAAAGAAGAAAACATTAAATTTTCTAAAAAAAGATAAAAAGTTACATTAGCTATGAAAAGTTAAAATTGAAAGATTAATGTCAGGATATATCAAAATAGTGAGAGAGACTCAAATTAAGACTCAAAGACTAAAAAACAAAACAAGCAAGCAAACAAACAAAAGAACAAGGAGAAAGGAGAAACCATGACTGATGATATTTTTAAGCTACCTGCATTCTGTGTGATGAATTGGGTAATGTCATTGTAAACAGAAACAGTAAACTTAACATTTTCAGTAGATGCAGTATCCATAAACAGGTCTGAAATCTCATCTTCACACTAGACACTACAGCAACATCCAAGCAATACTTCTTTGTCATTCAGAACCCAACACTTAAAACACATTGTGCAAAAAGTAATTCATTTATTCTGATTGCCCAGAAATTAACATTTTTATCATTTAAACTATTTTTTTAGTGGCATTTCTGCAACATCATAATAATAAAACAGAATGTTTTAATTTAGTGCAAAAAAAATCCACTAATTTGAATTCCTCCAAATTGCCCAGCAACATTTTTGTTGTTATTTGCAAACTGACACACATACACGCACATACGGTTGTTCCTTAGCAAGCATGCTCCTACTTAATACATCAGTCATATATTTGACTCTAAAAGCTGCAAATTTAAAATCACAAGACTTTTCAAGTTCTGTAGGAATAAAAACCTTTAAATATTACCATCAACAAAAAATTATTTTCTTAGTAGCAGTATGGTAAAACAACTTAGATTTGCAAAATCAGAAACAGTGTCAACCATGGTTTTCAGTAATCTAGCACAGATATCCATAGACTTATCTGTGAAACCGGGTGTCATGTACACCCATTTATATGACAAACCACCCATCTGCCATTAAGATATCATAGACAGAGACTGATGTACTGTGTCATAAGGAAACTGTGAAGCTTTAGATTTATTCCCCAATGTTACTGAGTCTATTCCTACTGATGAAAAGTCCATACATTGGTTGTGTAGATTAAAAGTAAGTTACCTGTGTATGAGTTTTTGTGTTGTGCACTAAGAATTTGTTTAGTTTAGATTAACTGCATTTAGTACTTTGCAGCTATGAGCCTCAGCCCTGGAACATATTATTGAATCTTACAATAGTGTTTGATCAGAAGTTCTCTGATAAGTGTGCAGAGCAGTCGGTATGAATTTCAGTGGCCCAAGGATGGACTGATACTTGCATGCTTTTATTGGCTACTTTATGCAATGAGATGCTTATCTTTTTTTTTTTTTTTTTTTTTTTGTAAAAGACATTTTACAAAATACGTAGTATGATGTGTTTGCTTTCCATGTCATGTCAGGAAAAAATAAATTCTACTGGTGCTAAATTTCAAGTTTTCAGTGAAATAATATATCTAATTTAAAATAAGTTTGTTCCAATTACACTGAAAAATTACTTTCCTCTCCTAAAGAAAAATAACCTTAGAATTCCCCGTTAGCACAGTCCCAGAGTGCCAATATAGCTACTGTTTAAAACACAGTATCTTTTCTGTATATCAAATAATTTATATTCAAAACCAGCCAAACATCAATGTTTACTGATTATCATCCATGCCAAGTTTATAATTAAAGGAATATTAACTAACATGATGGATGTGTCTTGTACCTGAAATTTAATTATATTCCCTATGCCTGTAATTAGCAATGGTATTTTGATGGTGTTGTTTTGTGCTGATTATATAGGCAACTTAACAGTTTTACTTTAGAGGCCCCCCCTCAAACTCAAATACTTATATTTTTCCAATTCTTAAATTGCTGTTCAAAGATGGAGATGACTGTCATGTCCAAAAAGAGGCAGAAAAAGATCTATATTCTTTTATGCTACATTTGCATTACTAAACATTCACAGAATAAAAAGCTTACAAGATAGCTCTTTTAAAGATGTTGCTCAGGTCTTCAAAGAGATGACAAACGCAGTGAGAGGCCACTATGGCTAAAATTTTTAGCAAAAATTCCAATGAATTTATTCACAAATTTCATGCTATCATCAGACTATTCCAAACTGTCATAGGATTCTGCTGTACTCCTCATTACAGAATGGCTCAGGTTGGAAGAGACCTCAAAGATCATCTACTTACAACCCCCCTGCCATGGGCAGGGATGCCACCTAACAGATCAGGCTGCCCAAAGCCCCATCCAACCTGTCCTTGAACACTTCCAGGTATGAGGCATTCACAGCTTCTCTGGGGAACCTGCTCCACTGCCTCACCCTCCTCCTAATCCAAATATCTCCTCTTTTAATTTAAAGCCATTCCCCCTTTTCCTGTCATTTTCTGCTTCAGCAAAAAGTTGCTCTCCATCTTTTTTATAAGCCCCCCCTTTACATATTGAAAAGCTGAAACAGGGTCACCCCCTGAGCCTTTTCTCCAAGCTGACCAGCCCCTGCTCTCTCAGGTTTTCTTCATAGGAGAGTTACTCTGGTCCTCTGATCAACCTCATGGTCCTTCTCTGGACCTGCTTTAACAAACCCACATCTTTCTTGTGCTATGGGCCCCACACCTGGATGCAGGACTCCAAGTGAGATCTCACAACAGCAGAGCAAAGGGGAACTATCAACTCCTCCCACCTGCTCACCACTCCTCTTTTGATGCAGCCCAGGGTGCAGTTGGCCTTCCAGGCTTCAAGCACACACTGCTAGCTCATGTCAAAATTTTTGCGCACTAGAACTCATAAGTCCTCCTCTACAGATCTGCTCTCAGTGAGTTTTTCTCTCAGGGTGTACTTATGTTTGGGATTGTTCTGACCCAAGTACAGCACATTGCACTTAGACTTGAACCTCATTAGGTTCACACGGGCCCACTTTTCTTGCTTGTCCATATCCCTTTGGACGGCATCCCTTCCTTCTGTTTTATTGACTGCACCACTCAGTTTGGTGTGATCTGAAAACCTGCTGAGGGTGCACTCAATTCCTTTGTCTATCTCATTGACAAAGGTAGTAAACAGTACTACCAGGACAGACCCCTGAGAGATACCACTCATCACCAGCTTCTTCCTGGACATGAAGCTATTGACCACCACTCTCCAGGTGTGACCTTAAAGCTAATTCATTACCCACTGAATGGTCTACCCATCAAATCTGTCTCCAATTTGGAGATCAGAATGTCATGTGGGAACGTGGCCTTACAGAAATCCAGGTTGATGACATCAGTAAGTCTTCCTTTTTCAACTGATACAGTCACTCATTCCATCATAGAAGGACAGCAGATTGGTCAGGCATGATTTGACCTTGGTGAAGCCATGCTGGTTGTCCTGGATCACCTCCTTGTCTTGCATGTGCCTTGACATCACTTTCTTATCTTTATACTGTTCTGTATGGGATCCAAAATAAAATAAAATGGTTATTTGGAAAATGTCTAATATGCAGTTGTGAGGAAAGCCTAGGTACAAAGGACATAAACTTAAATAATCTTGGATAGAAAAACTAGTAGAAAGTTTTTTAGCCAGGAACTCAGCGTGGCTAGCTGACATCTAAAACCAACTCAAAGCTAAGTTATGGAAACACTAATAGCATCCTCAGGAAAACATTAATCTAAAAAGATAAAGCTTTGCAAAGAGATTGTGTAGTGAGCTTCCTATATCTGATTAGTGTAATAACTAAGCAGATTTATCTTAATAATTTAATAATTTGAAAAAATAATTTTTAACCATTACAATTAAGGTGGGAAGAAAACCTTTACATTCCCTGGTCAAAGTGTGAATCATCTCTTGTAAAATTTTCTTTTCCTTCAAAGAAGAAATTTATTTTTCTTGTATGGGAAGTATTTTATAAAATAGCATGATAGCATGGAAAACTGACAATGGATAAGATTACCTTTATGTGACTGTTCTAAAGGCTTTTGTTTTCATTCCTATTTGTTCCTGTACATGTATAAAGGGAAGGTTAGTGATTTGCTTATCTCCAACTAAGAAAATCAAACTTATTATAATGTTTTCATCTTTGTGATTCTTAAAGAAGGGAGAAAAAATGTTAGATTTGATGCTGCTTTACTACAAAGTGATTGTAGACTATTTTCCATTATCATAATTTGTACATCCTTTGACGTAAAAAAATGTCAATTAAAAGAAAATATTTAAGAAAAATACTAGTGTCTGACAAATACAGGTTGATATAAATGTGCATGCTTTGCAGAGGGACCTCAACAATCTATTCATCACTCTATTTGTCTGATTCTAAAAGCTCATCTACTATAATTTTTCAGCTAAATTGTATGCATGTTTTAGGCATATGATAAAGCTATCCTTTGAATCCACATTTCACATTAATTTCTAGCAATTTACTGCAATTTAATTAATACTGCAAATTAAGGTTTGCTTGATGTAGATTTGCCATGCAAATTGTCATTTTGCAGTATAGTAGGGCTGTCAAAAGAAGGTAGGATTGGCTTTAATGCAGTTTTCAGCGTATGAGTTGTTTGTGTGATTTACTCAAGAAAATGTTTTCCTACACTGAAAGTAAATTGAATGCTCCTACCCAAAGTTTAGTCTTAGGGAATGTAACAGATGGGACCTTAATCTTCCAGCCACAGCCAGAAGTTATTGATGACATCCTTCAGTATCCATTGATGATTTGTTCTCTTTCTTGCTTTCTTTCCAGTGAATTATTCATTGTTTCATCTCTGTTTAAAATTTTCTTTCTTTTGATCACAGGCAATGGACTGGGTATCCGAATCGTAGGTGGAAAAGAAATTCCAGGAAGCAGTGGGGAAACTGGAGCTTACATTGCCAAGATCTTGCCTGGGGGCAGTGCAGAGCAGACAGGGAAGCTGATAGAAGGTAAGTTAAATGCACTATCAAAAAGTGGAAGCAAGGCAGAATTGTGAATGCAGTAGAATTATTTACACATGTGCATTCTCCGTCACACAACAGATACAATCTTGTGCAAGGGCAGAGGGGTATCTTAGAGCCCCTCTTAAAGCAGAAGAGGACTTATGGAAGGTCCTTGTCTATATCCAGAGGAAACTTCCATGGTAAACAGTATTCTGTGACGGCATGCTGTCTGCACTGGGGGTAAGACGTGATGAGAGTCCAACTGTATCATGTATATTGTGGACCTGTGCTATCTCGAAGATCTTTGGCTCCCTCCATAGAAAACAGTAGGTCTTTCACAGCTGTGCTAAATCATGCCTTTTCTCAGCAAAGTGGTAGAAGTACCATGCAGGTAACAAGGAGGATGTAAATATTCAGTATTTCCTTGAGACTAGGCATTTCAAGAAAGAGGATGAGAGGTTAACGCTTAGAATTATCTCTACCATTTTGTTTTCTCTTGTCAGGAGATCTTCTGGGAACTGAGGTTTAAAAAACTTGTTTGCTTACCATATGGCTGTATTTTTAGCAGTGCATCCTGGTTTTACAATAACTATGGGAGAAATTCAAACATATCAGCTTGCTTTTTTTTTTTTTTTTCTGTTCCCATGATGAATTTTGAAGCTTTATTCATGTTTTATAGAAAGATGAATAGAACAATAATATATACATATTTTGTTTTATTCTTCCATCATATATGATCAGTATTGCTTCTTATCTGAACTTTATAAAAGAATTGTAGACTTACATTGGCATTGTAGAATATGTTGGCATAAATTTGGAGCAACTATCAAAATCACTACACTTAATGTGTGGAATTTGACCACACAGAGTCCCAGAATATGGTTTGCTATTGATATGTTAGATAAGAGAAATAAGGCTTTTTGCAGAAAGTACCATTAATGTAGCACAGAAGACAAACACTTCAAATCTGGCTGTCATTTACCTCTTAAATCTCACCTTTATATATGGTTTACTTTTTATGTCATTTTAGGTGGCTATCATGAATCAAGAAAGAATATTTAGCTTCTTTACTTTGGGATATTTTGTTTGTTTTAGTAGAAATATGACTGGTGCACATCTAATCTCTAAACTTCAGAAATGCTAAAAATCCACTGAGGTCTTCAATCATTCTCATACTGATTCGTGCAAATCCAACCAAACTGCTAATGTTATTAATATTGCTGATATTGAGTCTGAAAATAGAATGTAGCCTTCCTGGGTAATTGCTGTCTCTCACACCACATACATAAAACTTTGTGTGTTGTTATCTGTAAATGACAATTGTTTCATACTAGTAATTTGTATAGTAATCATGAGTCACTTTTTTTTCTGCTGAAATGCTGTGTGACTTCAAATTAGTGAATATACCTAGTTATCAACTAAACATATAATAATGTCATTACAAGTTAATATCGTGACTCATTAGCCTTTCCAAGAACATGGTTCACTGGAAAAAAAAAATCCCATCAACTTAATTAATTCTTCTAATTCTTAAAACAGAAAACACTGGGTCTGAAAAATACTGCCAGTAGAGTAAAGAACAAGGATAGATTTACTGTGGTTATGAAGGAAGGCAAAGTCCTACCCACTGTCTGTGTGACTGCATCTATGCAGAAATTACACACTTTAAAATATAGATAGCATTCCTTTCCTTAGGGAATAGAAATCCACACAGTTTTAGCCTATTTAAATAGCTTTGGAGGAGTCTGTTAATGCTGAAAAGTTTATTTATAGTTCTGACTGGCAAATAAAAATCTTCTTGGTTCTCTCACCTTGAATTGCTTTCAGATGTCAAAAATACCTCTGATTCATCACTCATTGGCATTACAAAAACTGGAGGTGGAAGACTCATTCCACTGAGCTCATCAAGTGCAGGGACTGTGTCAATTTGATAGATGGGTCTGTGCTCCCTCTCGTGTTGACAGAAACGGTTTGGTTATATTCCACCTGGTATATACTCAGGAAACAGAATTTCATACTGCCAGCATTTTTCAGTAATAAAAGAAACTAGAGTAAAGAACAGAAATAAAATATTATGTGTGTTACTGACTGTTGCAAATTTGCTGGATGTCCTCAGCATTCAATACTCTCATTGGATCATTTTGACAAGCTGACTGGAGAGCCTAAAAACTGGTGAACCATGGGTGTCTTTGTTCGAGGTTTTCAACCAATGAGGCATAATGCGTTTCAATGCTTAAGTCAGCTAATAATCACCAAGGTAAAGAGGAGAATCCTTGTCTTTCTGGTCTCCTCATGATTCTTGGGGACCTGCATGGTCTGAAAGCTAATGGTGAACTTGATTTGTGTTGAACTTACTGCCTTTCCTGTCTCCGCAGTCAACAGCAACAATGATACTGATCAGATTTTTTTTAATCAGAGGCATAATGGCTCCATATTCATTTTAAAAATATATGGCTCCTTCTAATAATATTTTCTCAAACATAAAACTAGGAAAATCATATATTGTTAAGACAAAAACTCTCATCATGCAATTATTGAGAATTCAGTTTAATTGAATTCTGCATTTCATAATTCAATAAAAACATTCAGTATACAGGGATATTTTAGACTTCTCAATCTTGAAGCTGGTCCAATAATATCATAATAAAGACTTCCTGATGTGTGTACAGACAATGAAAGATAATGTCACCAACTTAAGCAGTTGCGAAGGTCTGAAGAAAGAAAATGCACTGCCATTTAAGAGTTTTGTGGCAGTTAATAGTGTTCTGGCTCTCAGTCCATATCTTTTGTCACTTGTTTTGATCTTAATTAATAAGATCTCATTAGGATAAAAGAAATATTACATTTCAAAACACCATGTGAGTCCTCTAAGGAGAGCAACTGGCAGCCTGATGACAGGTACCGTGGGTAGGCCCAAGTACATACTATGTCATCGCCATCACAATCTGAATACTGATGATGAGTTCTTAAGTGTAACTAATACCTTTTAGACTTGGATTTAACTACTAAGGTGAAGCTGATTAGTTTTTCAAATGGGCTGGTTACCTTCAATTGTGCTGGAAGTTCCCCAGGCCGCACGGCCAGTTTCCCTCCAGACTGTATTTTGAATGGCTTGGTCTTTAATGTAAGTATTAGAGCTCTGGTCTTTAATGTAAGTATCAGTGCTCTCTCTCAACTTCAGAAATCTGTGCAATCTCTGAACTTTAAGATGCCTTCAGGAAATAAAGCTGAAGTCTCTCTGTAAAACTTACCTCTATTTATTTATTATCTCTATTCATGCTCATTTTCCTTGTTCTACAGAAAGACTTGTGTATTCTTACATACTCAAATGTCACAATTTCCTTTTGTAAGACCTTTGCTGCACAACTGTCTCTGTGTGTCTAATGGACTAATATGAGGCCAAAACCATTAGAATCACACCTCAGAAAAAAAAAAGAAGAGCCTTCTCCTGGACTGTAATAGGAAGCCATGGCCACAGCATCAAAGTCCCTCCAAATTATTAAGCCACTATGGGGAAAAGCAGGCATAGCTTTTTCCCATATGGCTTTCCACACCAGGACTGACATATGAGATGAACAGTATATAGCAAAACAACATGCTGTGACTGGCAGAAAAGAGACACATCTAGACTGCTGGGGATTATTTTTTCCCCCAGACAGAAAGAGGGAAGAGAAAGGAACAAAGAGCTATTTGGATTACTTCCATGGACTTCAGAGATCAGCCAAACATCTCAGTCTCAGTCCTCTAAAGAAGGAGGCAGATCCAGAAAACCCTATTAGAAGTCTGCCATGACCAGAATGCTTTACAGCTCTCCTCCATGGGGCAGACTCCATCCCCGTCAAGCATCCCATAGCTTCAGGCATCACATTACAAGAATGCATACAGATAGGTTTCCTTGAAGTCAGAGAATAAACACCCAGGGCCCTATATAGATCCAAGTGCCATTACCACAGCTCTTCATTATTTCCTGGACAGACAAGTTAGTCAAAAAGAAATTTGTGATAAAGATGTAAGGACATATAGAGGATGGTAGAGAGAGAAACTGTTGTTAGGTAGAAATCTACTACTATTACTACCACTACTACAACTACTACAACAACTACTACTACTACAAAACCTACAAGAATCAGTTGACCACTCAGAAATATGACTGAAATATTAGAGATGCAGAAATACAAGACCCTTATGTAGCAACTTTGAGTCTAGGGGAGCCAAGAGGCAAAAGCTGAAAGACAACCAATAGGTTTACAGTGCACATACAATCCCTTTTGCACAAGCGCGCTGTATGCAGTCTGCATTGCTCACATAGACCATATAAACTGGAAAATATCTCAAGCATTTATGCTACCTACAATGCTTCCTCTCGGGGGAATGCCAATAAGGCTAATGAACAGACTAGAGAGGAGATGGCTAACTGAGGGAGATGATTAACTGTCCTTTGATTATCTATTGTAATGAAGATGTCTCTGGGCATAATAAATGTTGTATAGAGGCTATAGGAATGGTAGCATCACTGTTTAATCTGAAAAGTATTTTCTGGGTTCTGGGCAAAAACATCCTTAAATACAAGTAGTTTTCTTACCCCCACAGTTAAAAGTGCCCATTAGCCAACTTACAGAAGCAGTTGCATCTAATACATGCCTCAGGGATGTTCCCTTCATGTGTTTTCAGATAATAATTTTTCAATTATATCTTTCCAATTTTTTGTTTGTTTGTTTGTTTTTTAATGCCTTGCATAAGGCTTACTTTAAAGCATATTATTTACTGGTATTGGAAACACGGTTTAAGTCCTCCTGGAAGAACAGAAGGATATGCAACTGGATTGTTGAACAGTTAGTGAAATGAGAAGAAAGAAAGAATTAAGCACGTTTTTTCTGCAGCTTGTTCGACACATTTTGGGGCTAGTTTGGATAGCACCAGGTGTTGAATAAGAAGACCAGACTCATCTTCATTTCTTTTACAAAGGAAATAACACATATAATGGCTATCCACCTTATCAAAACTCT